GAAGCTTCCAGGCAAGAGCCTGGAAGTTTCCCTGTAGGGAAACAGGCTGGGGCCTGTAGGCCCTGTCAGAAGGAAGCTTCCAGGCAAGAGCCTGGAAGTTTCCCTGTAGGGAAATAGGTTGGGGCCTATACAGCATGTAACACCCTCCCTGGGGCCACCCAACTCGCGTAGGCCCAGCCTGACTGCAGCCCCTGTGTTATCCCCGGCAGTGCCCCGGATAGCTCATCGATGTTGTGGCCCTTCAAGTTTTTGTTTGTTTATGCATTGGCATACCCTGCATACGTGTTTGGATTTTTGTTTGTCAAAGTATGTAATTCACCTACTTTTGTAGATCCAGAATTCCAAAGTTTGCCTAAAACACTTTTGCTTGTCCAAGTATGTAATTAGCCTACTTACTTTTGTTGAATGATGGTTACTCTACACCCCGATAATGAATAACTCGGCTCAAATCTGCACAAATCTGTGGGCTCTAGGTCGTCAGTTTTTGTCAAAGGCCCGACACAGGGGTCAAAAGTCGAACCCTAAGTCTACGAAGAGCCTGGGCAAAGGCCTAAGGCCAAGGGGTACCCAGGGGAGTGCCAAAACCAGCATTCAGAGGCCCTACGAGAAACAGTTGACTTTGAGAAAGTCAACGGTCAACCCCAACACGGGAATCCAGGTGCAGAGGTCAGTCAACCCGCTGGTCAGCGACGGCCGTAGATGAGATGCGCATCAGTGGTTGTATGCAGGTATGCAGAAGAAGAATCCGATTGATCTGGGCCGTCGACCCCAGGAGACCAGAGGCTGGTCAACGTGAGTCAACAGCATAAGATGACCCAGCACCTGCTTGGAGATCATTCTGCCTTGTGCATTCTGCCTGGCGCTGGCTTGTTGCTGGTGCGACGACGCAAGGCTACTGGAGCTTTATGCTGGCGCAAGATTCTGGGTGTGGACGCCAGCCTTCAGGGAGATTATGCTGACGTGGCCATGGCCACATTGATTTCGACATTGACAGGAGCATGGGCGAGATGGAGGAGGATCAGGACTGTGAGATTGGTGTGTGTGATGAGGAGAAGCTTACCTGGACTTACCTGTGACGTCGTGTGTGCTTCGCTGCCCGTCTCCAAGAGGAAAATCTGCGCCATCCTCCTTGATTGCTGCTCATGTGGATGGAGGATGGGCACCCTGTTGTGACCTGTTCGTTGTATACGTCAGAGATCGTCAGACGAGAACTGTATTGCTGACGTGGCGAGTGAGGGAGACGCCGGAGGAGGAAGTGGGCTTGAGGAGTGACTGCTGCTTAGTTAAAACTTGTGAATGCTCCCCTCCTCCTCCTCTCAGTCTCTTCTCCCCCTCTCCTCGCTCTCTTCTCTGAGTTCGAGACATTGGGAGACTACATGTACGACGGGCATGGTTTCATAAAAGATTTTTGGAAACACTAATGCTGCGCTAAGTCAGACTTGTATTTCGACATTGATGAGCTTCTCATATGTGTGGGTTCATTGCACTTCATTCTTTCTTTACCTAACCGTACAGGTCTGTGCGTGTTGTGTCTTTCTTACTCCGCACAGAATGAATGGCTGCCTACACTACGAGAGCTGGTTGGCAACATCAACGAATCGTTTGGACGCAACTTTCAGGAGATGGCCATCGCTGGCGAGGTCTCTCTAGGTACGCTACCATGGGCATGAAAAAGCCACCTTCATTTGCCCTCAGTTGGGTTTTGATCTGAAAATCTGTTGGGTAATGCATCCACAGTCGTGGACAATTTTTGCACATTCTTAGGTGAGCGAACGATTCTTTTTGTGGTCCCTTGGCTGTCAAAGTAGCTCATCAGGCAAGCTCGATGACATGGCACTACTGCCACATGGATATCAGGAAAGTCTGACGAAATGGCAGTGCCGTCTGTGTGGAAATCCTGCCTTGTGATGACATGGGCATGCTTGCAGCGTAGATATCAGGGAAGCCGGATGACATGGCAGTGTCTCTTAGACATCAGAAAGGCTTGATGACATGGCAGTGCTGCGGCGTATGTGCCTGTGTGTAAATCCTGTACGTAGCTGAATGGAAATCCTGGCTGGTGATGACATGGAAATGCTGCGTCCTGTGACATGGAAATAGTACACAATTGTGTGTGGTGATGATTTGGAAGTACTGTGGCATCTGTGCCTTCGACATGGAAATGCTGCCACAGGGTGATCGGAATCCGTCAAGCATCCACAGTGGATTACCTACGTTTTTTCTTGCATGTGGCTGTGTGGTGCGTATCATTTCTTTCCAGTTCCGAATCTAGGTAATCTGAGGACTGCGATCCTGGGTCACTATATATATGATCTGTCTTTGACACACCATCTGGCACGTGCAGATATGAGCGACTTCATTCGTGCTTACCTGGTCATGATTCAAGAGACAGACATATTGTGACAGAATGACAACGTCGAGCACGTCCCACATGTCGGGAATGCAGTGGATGGGATTGAACAGCAGGATATTGGGAAGCCCAACATCATCAAATATTATAATGAGTCTCTCATCGACTCTGTGATTGATGTGCGACTGCTATTACTTACTCTTAGGTGGTGAGTCTGCAGACTGTAATGGGTGAGATGAGCAAGAAAGCAGACAATCGATGCACATCCGTCACTGCATTCTCAGTGATAAGGGGCTGTGGTCATTTGAGAGAGATAAATAGGCCGATCTCTGCTGAATGTCTGATGAATGCTGCCCCTCCCGCCTCCCCTCCAGGAACCCTCTCCCCGAGCACCCCTCTCCTCCTCCCCTACCTTTATTGTGGATTAACGTGCATGTTGTGGATCTTTGTTGTCCTTTTATGTGTGATGACTAGATGAACATGGGATGGACTTTGAGAAGTACGGTATCCTCATCAAGGTGAAGTTCAGGTGTGTTTTTGGAACAGATGATGGATGACCTTGTTGTCAAATGCTGTAGTCTGCCTGGTGCATCACACTTATCCTCGATAATTCACTTGATGACAAAGATGCTGTGTTTTTCATGCTCTTTGTGTGTGTAGGAGCTGCAAGCTCTGGTGTCAATGTCATTCCATGTTTAAAAGCAACCTTTAAATCACAGTACCTCCGAGCTTCGTTTCCCGGACCAGGATTAATGAACTGCGCACTTCTTTTCTTATTTGGCTGGCGGCAATGCCATTCCATGTTTAAAAGCAACCCTTAAAATCCTCCTCCTCCTCTTCTTCCTTACCCAACGTCGAGGAAAAGCTCTCCTAGAACGAGCGGGGCACACAACCAACCTGGGCTGCTTGCTCTCAATTTGGTTCAGATCTTGGTGCTGCCACTCAGTATTTAGGAAACCATGCCACAATACTAGCTCAGGTGTCGAAACGACCACTACGTACTCCCCCAATCTCGAATGAAAAGCAAGTAGTTGGGGTTGTTGCGGCTGTCAAAGGTTACTTACGTTTGAGATTGAAGTCATATTTCCCAAATGTGAACAAGAGTTGTTGAACTCCATTGATCCAAGTTTGCTTGAACTTCCCTACACTATTAAAATCGCTAACGTGACAAATCTGAAATCCGGGCCATTGTTGGTCCTACCGGCCCACGGCCCAGATCAACCGAACCATGTAACAAATCTGAAATCCCGGCCGTCGGGTCCTACCGGATCGACGCGCCGTATCAGCGCGATCTTAAGATCTTAAGAGCGCGCATCAATCCAGGCCGTTGGCCGGTACCTTGGGCGCGACGGCTGGGATTATTTGCCTGTTGGAGAGGGCCGCGGTACCTACCAGTGGTTTCTTGGCGCGGTACCTACCGGTGGGGTTTTGTGTTCGGGCAAACGGGTTCCCATAGGCTGTCCGTGATGGTTTCGTGGCGGCGTGCACTGTTTTTGGATGGGGGCGTGCCTTTTAGGTGGCGGCAAAGGCAAATTCTACGGCGTGGGAAAGACCCACCCCTATGCTACTCAACTCTGTTCTACTACTTTCCTATCCTATGCTACTACACTCGACTTCGACTTTACTACTCTAAACTACACTACCACGCTCGACTTTGACTTGGCATGTGGATACACACACACACACAGGACATCCGGGCAGACTGTCGGGGTTCAACCTCCTGATGAGTCGGTGGAAGTCCAACGAAACAGCCTCGCTTAGTGATGCCCACGCACGCACGCAGTCAGCGCGCGCACGCGCGACACACACACACACACACACAACCAGAGAGAGAGAGAGAGAGAGAGAGAGAGAGAGAGAGA